AGAGGACAAAACACTTTTGCTCTTGCCTCTTTTTTCTTGCTTGGGACCATGGTGCTGTTGCAGCCATATCATGGTCATGAGGAAAAAGCCAAGAGAAAACCATTGAGTATCTAGTCTTTGGTAGCGCTCACCAAACCTGTGAATACTTGCTACCTCCAGACTGCTTATTTTGCAAAATAATTAAATGCTCTTGTTGTTTAAGTCCCTATTAGGTAAGTATTCTATAACTTGCAGCTAAATGCATTCCAAACAGTTACAAAAGCAATCATTCAGGGAATGCCTGCATCACTTACCCTGGAAGCATGACTGAGATGCAGAGAAAAGTTGTAGTGTCATTTACAACCGTAATCTCTATGAAGGATTTGATCTTAAACTGCCTATGTGATGGCTAATACCTACTATTATATTTGCGACCTTGATTAAGTCATGTTTGTTCACCTTTGTTTTGCACTGAAAGTCCATTTGGATGTAGTTTGTTGTCCCAAGAATTCAGACATACAGGAGGAGGCCTCAACTTAATGAAAAGATGAGACAAAGCGAATATGAACTGTTTAGTGTGCTATCAGCAGTTTATTATAGTGGTCTTCAGAAACTCATGTTCTTAACTGAGTAAATACATTTACCTAAAACAGGTTTGTAGCTCTGGGGCGCATAAATACCATTAGAACCAGCAGAGTTATAGCTGAGAGAATGTGTGGAACATATGGTCACAACTTGCCTACTGTTTCTGAGAGGCGAGAGAGGACATCTCTGTGGGAGAGGCATGTTTTCATTTGATAGAGAATAATTTACTAAAAATGCAAACACTTTATCAGAAATTTTCACCATGGGTCTAAGAAATTAATTAGAAGAGTTATCATTGGAAAGTTCCTCAAATAAATTATCATTTATCTAATAGAAATATGTAGCCTGTAACTCTCCTAGTGGATACAAAAGGAATGGTGCCTACTACTTTACACAGGCATTCATGCCACTTCAGTTCTCATGAGACTGCAAACTACTGAGCCAGTCACAGCCAGCTATATTCTCAGGACATAAAGTACACAAACGGAATGATGCTTAGAATTTGCAATGCTTCATTTTATGGCCAAACTAAAAACATTTTATCATGATCCATATATATTCTAGCCACAATGTATAAAGAATATTAACAATTTGTCTTGAAACTTCATGTGAATCAGGCTTTGCACTACTCACTTGGCTTGCATTACTACATTTTATCTTCACAAAGGTCACCCGGCTAGTAATATGGTAGATACAGGATTTAAACCAGATCAGTTTGACTTGAAATCCAAAGCTCTTCACCATTACAACATTGGTTCTTAGGTTTCAACGTGATAAGAACTTAAAGTCCTATTAACTGTGAAGAGTTCTGGCCTGGTCCCCACTGATTCTGATTTAGATAGCCCAGGGTCTAAGAACCTGCATGTCTATCAAGCCTCGTAGGTGATTCTCGTGAAGATGGCTCAGAGGACACACCTTGAGAAACAATGCCTTATACTCTGTTGACTGCCAATGAACACACAAAAGGCTTGATATTTAGACTGTAAGAAATATTATCACTTCAAATTAAAAATACATAATTTTTATTGTGAGAAAGTAATAGAGAAAAATAATACAATTAAATAAATACATCTTATCAATAAAATATATTTTCATTCTTTAGGAAAGAAATATCCTTAGTAATATTTTCCTGTAAATTTCAATGTCCCATTTTCTCATCACCCAGAGAGATTGCAATGAAAGGTGACAAAGATGATAGCAGGGAGTGTCTGATTTAAGAAAATGAAAACATTTCTTATTTGTAGCTTATGAAAGCTTTCCCACAAACTCTTATCAAAGTTCCATAAGGGGAATGGAGAACAAGAAAACTAAGCATTTAGGAACAAAATGAATACAGAAATGGGAAGGTTATACTTTATTCAACAAATAAATAAACAAAGGCACCTCACTACAGGCTGGGATGCAAAGTGGTTAGTAGTCAATGTTTTTGGATTATCTGAGCAGTCAATCCGGATAATTTAAGAATAAAGTCCAATTATCAATCAAGTCAGTTAGGGCTTCTTGGCCCTTGACTGTGGAATGCTCAAGGCTATCCTGGCATTGCCTAAGTGAAAATAATTAATTTATTCTCTGCCATATGTGATCCCACCCCAGTAGGGTATTCAATTCTGTTTGTCAACCTTTTTATTTATTCTTCATCGACTCCCTGTCCCTTTCATCACAACAGCTCTTTTGAATCTTTCTCTTTCCTTCCAAGTTCCCAAACTCATCCTCAGAGCCCTCAATTACCATATATGAACTTGCTTTTTATCCTAGCTATCCATTAATTCTCTTCCTTCCATACTTCAATTTTTAAATAATGTCAAGTATTTGTCCATAGCTTCAGAACTCATTATTATGAGATTCTTAACTTCTTTCTAAGGCTAATTTCTCTACCTATGAGTCTGGCCCCATTTGGGATCTTGTACCCCTCTCAGGAAACCTCTCTAATCACCTTTAGCATTCCAGGCGCTCTGTTAAGCATTGGGAACACAAAGATCAAAGGACAGGAGACTGCCTTGCTGTAGCTTCCAGGACAATGTGGAGGCAGACACTCAATACTGGTGAGCACAGTGCAATGGGAACCCTGGCACAGCAAGACTTAAGGTTAAATGGCTGGAGACAAGGGGGTTTCCCCTCAGAAACAGCAGATATTTAAAAGATAAAAGTTCATCAGGTAGACGAGTGGAAGAAATGAAAAGATGTAGAGGCTCAGGAGAGCGTGGCATGGCCAAATAACTCTAAGTATTCTGTCATTGATAGAAAAACTCCCAGGAAATTGGTATGAAATAGCACTGAGAAGTTTAGGTTTTAAATCTAAAATAAGTCACTGAAATGTAGATATTAGATGTGTATGTATCACAGTTTACTCTGGAAATATCATGGTAGAAGAATTAGAATAGTGCAAAATTAGAGGACAGTAGCCCAGAAAATAAGAGTGATCCAGGTGGGATATAATCAATAATCAATGCCTGGTTTTGAGCAGTAGTGGTAGAGTTAGAGAAGTCTGATGGATAAAAAATGCATTTAAGTGGTAGTATTATAGAACTTAATAATTCTAAATGTTAGGGATAAGAAAGAAAAAAAGATACAAGTTGAGCCCTTGGTTTCCGATTTTGGTAACTTATTAATGGTTGTGCCATTCTGGATAGTGATTGGACAGACTGAATCTATGGGGCACCCAAGAGGACATATCTAACAGGGAAATGGAAATGTAGGTGTGAAACACAGAGATGCTGATTTAGGCAGCAGCAGTGTAGGCATGCCAGGTGAAGCTGTAGTTGTGAAAAATATTATGCAGTACATAGTGAGAAATATGGCTGAGGAAGGCTATTCAGGGTGCCAAAATCTAAGACCCTCCAAAGACAATTGAGAAGGCAAAGCTAAAAAGTAGAAGAAGAATGGGGGTAGGATGGCATCGTGAAAATTAAGGAAAAAGATGTTCAAAAGAGGAAGTGAACGACTGTCAAGTGCTTCAGAGGGAAATGAAAGACACTCACTGGAAGTTAAGTTGAAGTCTTCTCTCTCCAACTTATTCTCTTTCCTGTCATTGATCCTCACACTTATGTCTCCCCATGATTAAACAAGTAACAACATTTGATAAACACATAAAAATTATTTACCTGAACCTACTTGTTCCCAGTGTGCTCTCTTTTCCTTAATGACCCTGTCATTGAGAATGCCCTGAGAGTTTACTGCTGCATTGAAAATTGTCTTAAAATTTGCCAGTGACAACTTTTCCTTTCCTACTAGTCACATTTTAAATGCCAACTCCCATAACTTTTGCTTAGACATTATGTTACCTGATCTCTCTAAAAGTCTTACAATATGAAGTCCCCCTTTCTATATTCTCCATTGGCCATTGCACCACAAGTTTAGTTCTCCTCTTAGTTTTCCGAAGATACCTTTTCAGTCTCCTATAAGGACTCGCTGCTCTTTTTAAGCTCTTTAAATAAAATTGCCCCCCCAAGACTTGATCTTTAGTTCTTTTCTCTGGGAAATTCACATTTTCACCCCCTGGTCAATCTCACAAGTCACAAATGTGTTGAGGAACCTCCAAACATAATCCTGATTTTCAAGTGGAATGCTACAGACAAAAGTGCCTCCAAATCCAACAAGCTCCATATTAAACTTCCTTTATATCTCAACCTAAGACAGTTACTCATGTCCCTTCCCTGTCGCTGCATCTCCTAGTCCTCCACGTCCCACACACAATCAACCTCAACTGGAAAGGTGGTTTCTCTCTCTCTCTGGCCCTTATCTTCACATTTTCTCTCTGATACGTGAAACAATTGGAATATAGGGGATCTAGACATGATACAAAATTTCAGTGATTTATTTTCCATCATAAAATAACAATGGCAGCCAATATTGATCTAGTCTTGATTGTGTTAGGTGCTGTTCTAAGCACATTACATATATATTCCTTATTACTCTGTTGTTTTCCTTTCTATGAATTTAGAAGAGCAAGATGGTTTATTCCCTTTCAAAATTGTCATGTGTGAATTGTTTTAAATATCAGTCTGAATAACCAGTTTTCTGGGCAATAAAAAACTAAGCGTTATGTAGTGAAAGCTCATTTTGTTACCAAAATTCTATTAACAGGCACTTACAAATGTCTAAAACATAGCTATAATTATAATAATGATTACCCAAGGCACAGTTAAATCCTGAAATATCTTCTGAGTTATCAATAAAAGATTAAAACATGCTCCATAAAGTCTTGGTGTTCGTATATTCTCATTCTTTTAAAAGTGGTAATCTTTAAATGTGTATTTTTGTAATATACATCATTTAATCTCTTTCAGTAGAACGTTGTTCTTTTTCAGGTCTTTAAATGCTGCCAACTCTCAAGGATGATTTCTAAGTCCTCAGAAATAATCTTACTTTCTGGAACCCTTATGCACACACTCATTATTCTATCTTGATGAATTACAGAGAGTATATTATACACTTACTTCAAAAATCCAATCTTTGCAGAAACCTGTAAATCAGCAGAACAATTTTCATGGGCACAAAACCTTGCAAAGTTTATCTGGAAATAAAAAGTGACAATATTTTTATTTTAGTTCTATATATTTTAAAGATAAGACATCTGTGATGCATGAGAAAAATGAAATTAATACATCAAATTGATAACACTTTAAAAAATCCCTTTCAAAGAGTTCTATTTGAAAATTAGTCAGTAGGGTTCAAATGACAACTAATTGCAGGAATAAAGGAACTAAATTCTTCCAAGAGGCAAAATTTAAAGACCAAATCTGATAAGTGAAACAAGGTTTAAGAAAAAAAATGAATAAAAGACACTTTACAGACTATAGGATAATATTAGCTGCCAATATGTTTTTGCTGAGTTCTTCTCAATTTTCTAGAGCTGCAGCCTGATCTCATTTATTATACATAAGCATGGCATTTATTTAATTTGGGCAGACATTGGAACAGTGATTTTATTTTCATTCAAATGCTACATAAAGAAATTCAGAAATTTTACTTGAGAATATACTGAACAAAATTAAATGATAGTAAATATTCCAGAATTTATTTAACTCTGAGCATTTTAATAAAATCCATAGATACTACAAGGCACATGGGAAGACCTGAAGTATAAACTGGACAAAAGAAAAAAATGAGGAGAGATAAAAAGAAAAGAAGATAATAGAAATGGTGAAAGAGAGAGGCATATGCAAAAGAACAAAGAAAAAGAGAAAAGAGTGAAATCAAGAAAGTCAGAGAAGGAGTCTGGAACATTAAGTGAACAGTGACTATAGTATGGTCAAATAGCATGTCAGACCACAGACTGCCTACATCTGGGGGAGCCGAAGTATAAATCTTTCTCTGATTAAGTAAATAGGATTTTTTCCCTGACATTCCTATTTGTCAAAGCAGGTTATTCTAAGAATCACAATGTAGATTACTCTAACATAACTATAAATAGCTAAGGGTTTTAGCCTGTGTACTTGGATATTAAAATTTTTGTTATTAAAGACACTTAAAAATAGTTGATATTGAAAACTGAAGTTCAACACAAGAGTAAAAAAAATCTGGCTTTCATAAATATATTGCTGTAAGGGGATAGAGAAAATTTGCTCTTAAGTTATCTTCATTTGACCTAGTATTCTAGACTAGACAGAGGTGACTGTAAGCACAAATATCTTAAAGTGACTTTGGAGCAATTCTGTCTGGACAGGATATAAACTAGACTTTTAAATGTCCCTTTCATCTTTTACATTCTATTTGTCATTGTGAATGTTTTTTGTTTTTGTTTTTGTTTTTTGGGTTTTTTTGAGTTGGAGTCTCACTCTGTTGCCCAGACTAGAGTGCAGTGGCCGTTCCCGGCCACCACAGCCTCGACTTGCTGGGCTCCGGCGATCCTTCCGCCTCAGCCTTCCAAGTAGCCAGAATTACAGGCATGCGCTACCACGCCCGGCTGATTTTTTAATTTATTGTAGAGATGAGGTCTCGCTGCCCAGGCGGGTCTCGAACCCGCGGGCTCAGGCAATCCACTCACCTCAGCCTCCCAAAGGCGCAGGATTACAGGCTGAGCCACGGAGCCCGGCAGTGAATGTTTTAATGAAGACTTTCTACCATGCCCGGATGCATCTTGTTTTTGGGAAAACACTACATCTTTGTGTTGTTGGACAGAAAGGCTCTGAACAACAGGATTCCTGAGAATAAATATACTGTGAGTAAAAGAGAAATATTTTGGCACAATTTCGAAGAAGCAGTTCACTGGCTAGAATGCAGGATGCATCTTAAATGCAAGTAACCATGTGATGTGGCTGAAAAGCATGTAATGAAATTTTTAAAAAGAAATTGTGGAACATAAATATGTATGTTTATAAGTGGGTAAAACTGAGCAAAGCAATTTGAAAAAAAAAATGAGTGAATCTATGGGTAGGGCGAGAGAGAGGGAGACAAAAATGAGAAAGAGGAAGAACACATGACAACACTAAAGAACTGACTAATGAATGTAACTTACTTCCATTAGGATTTCTCTCTAGTAATATATTTTCTTCACTGGCAAGGCATCAAGGAGAGAAAATTAACATTTTATATGTATAGAAAACTACTGCTGTGACTAAATGCATATTCTAAAATATTCAGTTCAATATCCTAAAGGGAATATAAAAAATAAAGAAAAATGGAAAACACAACATACCATAAAACTATTTCTAGAAAAAGTTCATAAAAATTTTTCAAGAATTTAGACAAATATTAGCTTGATTTTAAAAGAATATGTCATACTTAGAAAAAATATTTAGTTATCTGTCAGATAAATGTTTTAAATAAAGAAAAATATTCCTACTGTTTTCTTAATCATGTCTTTTTCTTTCTTCTGTTGAAGAATTGGCTGCAGTGGTGGGAATTCCTCTGTACTTCGCTTATTGAAGACGTGATGCCCAAGGTGGTATGCAGCTTCTATCTGAATTGGGGTGAGGATGTCCCGCACATCCTTCTAAGGATGAGAAAAACCATATAGATGAATAACAAAAGTAAGTTGCAGATAAAAAATATGTAAAATGCATTCTTTTCTGCATAAGGACAAGCACAACTCATGGAAGGCAAAGCAAATACCTTCTATGTAAATTGTTTTAATAAAATTGATTATGTATTCTTTTTGCATTACAAAAATATTCATGCTTCTTATGAAAAACACAAAATGAATATAACTATGAAAAATGATAACCATCTAATAATAGTTATAAAAGTCTACATTTGGCCATATTTCCTTCCATATTATTTCTATGAATTTTTATAGTAACTTGACATTATAATATAAACATTTTTCATTATAAACCCCCTGTAAATCATTTTGAAGTATTAACATTTTATTCCATTTAACATTACCCTATAATAAGATTGTAGAAAAATAATATCTCTTCCGACTTAATCGTGTTCTTTTTATAGCTTTCAGTAACATTTTGGTTCAATTTGATTTATTTGATTCTATATTTATTATGAAATACTGTTTTTTTGTTGTTCTGTATGGATCTTTTCCCATTATATTTCCTAGGTTATAATTACAAATTAAGAAAGTTATATAGGAAAGTAATGTTTTGTATATTTAACTTTATATACTAGTAACATTTATTTTCTTATTAGTAGATATCTTTTTAGGTTTATTGTACTTTAATACTTCACAAAGAAAGATCTATTAATTTATTAATTTCACAAGGATTGTAACTTAATATCATGACTAATTTCTACACAGCATTTCTCATTCCTATTGCTGTCTATATGTGGTCGGAAAAATCTTTTTGAATAATTAGATTTTTGAAATTTTTTTGTCCTCTTTCTCCAAAGAAACAGCTCTCAGTTTATTACAACTAACTGCCAGTTCTTACATTTTAATCTTTATGTCTATGTGCAGACATTATTTTTCTCTCTTAAAAAATATTTTCTGTAACTTAAAAATGATTTACCTTTTGATTATTCTCTAATCCCCTCATTAAAAGAAAATATTCCACATTATTATCAGTATTATTTACTAACATATACATAAGCAGTGAAATAATACGAAAATGATTTTGAATGTGTTTGTTATGCAGTTAAGTAAATACTGCACTAAATAATAAAAGTGTTCTAGACTCTCAAGTCTATGAAAATAGACAGTCAGCCCTCTGTATCTGAGGAATCTGCATGTGTGAATTGAACCAAACAGATTAAAAATATTTAGCTGGGCTCGGTAGCTCAGCCTGTAATCCGGTGCCTTTGGGAGGCTGAGGTGAGTGGATTGCCTGAGCCCACGGGTTCGAGACCCGCCTGGGCAGCGAGACCTCATCTCTACAATAAATCAAAAATTAGCCGGGCATGGTAGTGTTGCCTGTAGTTCTAACTACTTGAAAGGCTAAGGCGGAAGGATCGCCGGAACCCAGCAGGTCGAGGCTGCGTGGCCAGGAGCGGCCACTGCACTCCAGTCTGAGCGACAGAGTGAGACTCCAACTCAAAAAAAGAAAAAAAAAAAAAAAAAATATACATATATATATATGGCAAAAAATGGGTAGTTGTTTCTGTACTGAACATGTGCAGACTTTCTTCCTTGTCATTATTCCATAAACAATACAGTATAACAATTTACATAACATGTATATTATATTAGGTATTATGAAGATAATTTAAAGTATATGGGAGGATGTGTGTAGGTTATATAAAAATACTATGCCATTTTACATAAGGGACTTGAGCATCTGTGGACTTTGGTATCCAAGGGGTTCCTGGAACCAAATCCTTCAGCATATTAAGATACCGTATATGGAAGTAAGGTAAGACATAAAACATGGTGTCTCTTAGTACCTGTTCAAGGCCTCCCTACACAGAAACATGATTTTTTTTCTTATCTAAGAGGGTGGGCAAATATGATTTTACTTATAAAGTAATCCAAGAGGACTTATAACAGAATTCAGGTGACAAATTACATGAAATTAAAGCATGATGGAAAATCTATAAACCAAGTTGTTATTATTATTATTATTTTTGAGTTGGAGTCTCACTCTTATCTCCCAGGCTGGAGTGCAGCACACTCACAGTCACCACAGCTCCAACCTTCTGGGCTTAGGTGATCCTTCCGCCTCAGCCTTCCAAGTAGCTGGAACTACAGACGCATGCCACCAAGCCCAGATAGTTTTTTGTTTTTTTTTTTGTCATTTATTGTAGCGATGAGGTCTCACCAAGTTGCCCGGGCTGGTCTTGAACCCCAAGGGTCAGGCAATCCTCTCACCTCAGCCTCCCAAAGTGCTGGGATTACAGGCTGAGCCACCACGTCCAGCCTAAGACAAGTATCTTAATCACAACAAAAAAGTAGAAATGATCTCAGGATTTGAGAGAGCAGGTCACAGTGAGCATATATAGTCCACCTACACAGGAATGAGTGTAGAAAATCTACACAGTTTTTCTTGGTATTAGAATCATTACGATGCTTGGAAGACAATGTGAACAATTGGCTACAAACTTTGATGTCTTCAAACTAATAATTTAAATTTAAAGTTCAGTTTGACTCTACATTTTTTTTTTTTTGAGTTGCAGTCTCACTCTGTCACCCAGACTGGAGTGCAGTGGCCGCTCCTGGCCACTGCAGCCTCGACTTGCTGGGCTCCGGCAATCCTTCCACCTCAGCCTTCCAAGTAGCTGGAACTACAGGCAGGCACTGCCACACCCAGCTAATTTTTGATTTATTGTAGAGATGAGGTCTCACCAAGTTGCCCAGGCGGGTCTTGAGCCCTTGGGCTCAGGCAATCCACTCACCTCGGCTCCCAAAGCGCTGGGTTTCCAGGCTGAGCCACCGAGCCCGGCCGACTCTATGTTTCATATAGTCATTCCAATCTATAAGTTCTTCTCAAACATATAGATTTTAAGAAGTCCATTCTTGACCATTAAAGAAAGAGTCAAGTGTTTTTACTATAACTAGACATATTAACTGAAACTATAATTGAGGTTTATATTTATGCTTGATGATTTTGTCAGGGTAGACCTCTGACATTGTAATTGACAGACCTCCTACTGAATACTGTCAGTGGACCAGGTTTTTGTTTATCTATAGACATTTCAGGATTGAAATATGACTTAAACATTTCTGCCTAAAAGCACATAAGAAGCAGATTATTTTCAAAGCTCATCAATTAATAATCCCTAATGGATAGAAAAATAATTCCCTACCATACTGATTATTTCTGCACAAGGATAAACTTTTGATAAAAATCAATGAATTAATAAAGGTTACAGAAGCTATATAAAAAACTATATTCTATGTCTATGTAATTAAAAACAAAAATAATGTAATATTTTTTCTCATTATAAATTTATGCACAATGTGTATACAGAGAATTGGTGTTCAAATCTTGGGTCCATCACTTATTTTCTATGCAATTTTAGGCAAACTACTTAACTTGTCTCTGGCTCAGTTAACTTATCTGAAAATAGGAATGATGATGATGATGGTATTGATAACTACACCTTATTGTTGTGATGATTAAATGACACAGTATACATAAAACACTTAGACATTATAATAAGTGTATGTTACATTGAAATGGAGCCATATAAGCCAACCTAGGAATTACTAAATTTCAGTTTCTTAAAATAAGAAATTACACTGAACATTTGGAAGGAATAAGAAAACTGAGCTATTGCCAACCAATCAACATCAAATAGACAATGAGTTATTTAACAAGTATTAGACTTTTATTTATTAAATGGTACCTAGGTAATTTGAAGCATAAATCATGGAACTCAAAATCCTGACTACTTTTCTATTCTAGTTTCTATTCTTATACAGATAAGTGATCATCTCAACATGAAACCTTGACCATGTAGGAATGCTGCAAATCAAGGCCAAATCCCAAGTTATTGACTTATGAAAACGGAACAGCTTGAAGCCCTGAGTATTACAATAGCAAACTTGATTAAATTATTCCCTAGGTATAGGAGTTAGACAGTCACTGATTGTCCCTCCACATGTCCACTGTTTTAATTCTTCTCAATAAGCTTGCTTTGACCAAATCACATGTTATCTAATTCATACTAATTTTCCACAAGGTCTTCTCTACATCTGGTGTATATTACTTTCATTATCCTAATTAGCTATTAATTATGCTTTTCTTGCAATATATAAAATGTACATGCGCTCTTGCAAGAACTGTATTTGACAGGTATTCACACTTATTTAACTTTAACAGCTCCACCTAAGGACAAAAGCTGTAATCTCAAAATGTCTTAAGTGATTAAGTATTTGGGAGGAAGAAAGTAGATTTGCTTAAAATTTTTAATTTGGATAGGCATGTGCTATCTATATTAAAAATAATGAAAATTCCATGCCACATTTTTATGGACAATTACATAAAATAGGGCACCCAGGAGCATGCAAATTAGCATATGCCTGAAATTACATAAAGTCTGCCTTCTTGTTTGACACTCATGGAAATCTATATTTCTGGCCAACTTGAGAGCTGAGCTGTAGGCCCATGTCCTTCATGTACAAGGGTGGACCCCTAAAAAGCAGAATTTATTTATAAAAATTGTATATTTATCTTACATATTAAAACTCCAGTCATCTTCAAGTTACTCTCAATCTGATGCAATATACCTGTTAAGAAACTTTTTCCACTGCTCAAAACAGTTTTGAACTCATTAATTTTGATGCCTTTTAGTGCATCTACCATTTTTTGTTTCCTTTCTTCCATATCAGCAAAACATTTTCCTTTGAGGACATTTTTCACCCAGGTAAACAAACAAATGAAAAAAAAATAGCATGGGAGTAGATTGAGTGAATAGAGGGTGGGGCATGGGAGTCATGCCATTTTGGTCAAAAACTGCTGAACACTCAGTGGTGTTTGCACATCACCCATCATGAAATGGGCAAACATGTTGAAAGAGTCTCAAAAAAAAATTCACTGAAGCCAAACAATCTCTCACAACAATGCTAGCTGGTACACTGATGTAGATGGTTTCCTAGAACACTTA